TTGCCTTTTTTTTGAAAAATTCTTGTGATACGGACCTGATCCAGATACCCGGTTGGACCACGGACCTGGTCATCCGGACTCAGGGATGGGGATCTGGATGTCCGGTTTGTAACCGTGCTTTCTTCCCTGTCGTGTTTTTCATACGGCAGCGGCGGACAAGTCATCGGGATGCCGGACTGGCCGTCTCGATCTAGCTGTCTTGCGGAACCTGTCTGTATGACAGGATATGTCGGGATTGTATAAAAAAAAGTACCACATATGAGGAGGAAGACGTGGAGGTGGAGGAAGAGGAAGACGAGGAGGAGGAGGAGGGGGAGGTGGATAGAAGACCAACGAGGGGGGAGAAAAAGAACGAGTGCCAGCCAGGTGCTGCGCAGGACAATTGAGTGCGTGACAGGGGAACATGATTAAGATCTGGAGGAAGGTGGGTGGGGGGGTGGGGGTGGATGTGCAGCAGGCAGTCCACACTCAGCCGCTCCCCCGAGTGCTCGTCGCCCTGTGCTGTCTGCAGCTCCACGCTCGCTCTGCCGTGCTCAGCTGTTCCCCTCTTCAGCTCCACGCTCATGGGGATGATGCAGAAGCTTCGACCTTGAGGCACAGGGGGGGAGGGTGTACTGCAGGCGTGCTTCAAAGTTTGAATTCGAAGTGCTTATTGTGTAGGCCGACCAAGCAAACTGGCTGCCAAGATCACCCAATGGCACCCAACTAGGCCCTGTTTGGAATCTTTGGATTCATGCACAACAGAAAAGGGAATCAAGAAAGCCTACCTTCTGACCCTGTTTGGATCCCCCCAACAGGCCCGAAAAGAATTCGCCCCTTGTTTTTACATGGCAGCCTAGTATACTCCAGAATGACCTGGGCCGCGAAAAAGAGATTTTGGCCTTTCCCTGATACATTCTGCCTCCTCGATGTTCTACCCACGTTCAGGTTGCATTGGAAACAGAGGTTATGGTGTCCTCCATGTGTGAACTATGCCCAATTACCATAATTGCAAGTGTCGTAGTGTGCTCCATGGGTTGAGGAAAGTTGCACTGTACCGACAGGGTCAGGTGGGCTCCTCCCTTCCATGAAACACGCACGATTTCGAAACTGCAAGTGTTGGAGCTTGCAGTTCGGTATTCTCCCTCGCTATCCATGAGCATCCCCCGATTTCTAGAACTGCAGCCTTCTTCCCCTGAACAGACCACATGGTCATTGTAGCTGTGTTTAAGAACTTTTAAGGCAAATTTGGGCCAGATACAGTTGGGGTTACAATACTTCTTGTCGAGGAGAAGACAGTGGTGGTGGATGATGTGGTTCGGGGTATTCTCCTACGTCTGGGGACTATACCCCAGATGTAAATAATAGAATGGAAAGTGATTGGACAGGGTGTTTTGAGTAAGGAAGGTCTTCCAGTTTTCAGATTCGGGTAGTTGTGCTTTTTCCCCAGACTGTATCCATTAGAATTGGGATGATACAGAGTACATTAGCATGACCCCTGTGCAGGGATGACCCACATAAACTGAGAAATGGTTCAAATTTTCTCTTAAAACCACCAGTAGCATTTTCTTCAGGGCTGGACACACCTGGCGTGTCAAAGAAAATTGGAGCGACGCAGGCCTTCTTTTGGCTGGCACTGCCAGCCCTTTTGCCGTGGAGGCCAAGCCGAAAGTTGCAGCAGCATGTGAGCCGCTAATTTAAAAAAATGGCTGGAAAATGTACTGGTGGTTTAAAGAAAAAAAAAGGGGGAGAAATAAACGATATATTATGCATTATCACTTACAGTGTAATCAGTTAGGGGATTCTGCAGACTGTTGAGGGTTCAGCCTCCTGATGAGTCAGTGAAACTCCGACGAAACAGTTTTGTCACACCCACTCGTTTATTGTCCTCTTCTCCCTCTCTGCCTATGGTTCACCAGGCAGTTCTGTTTGACGATATATTATGGTTGAGACTGGCTTCTCCCAGAATGAGTATCCTGGCAGGTATTGGCTCTTTTCCCAAAGTATATACCGTGGTCGCCGTAGTTTTCTGCCCAAAATATGTAAAATCCCTGACATTTTTCAATTTTCCCTCAAGTAATACATCCAGTACTGTGCTGGATGGTGGCACGTGACAATAACGAGAGCATGTCAAATTACTAATTGGGGACATGGTGAAGAAAAGATTGGAAGGTGACTAAAGCGTTTCCTTTCTAAAAGAAAGGAATTGAACTCACTCTTCTCTCATACTTTCAGACTGTTACGCATGCCATCACGTACATTATTTATATAGGCATGCTGTACATTATTGGTCATGATTATGCACACCTATGTACAAGTCATTCGCGCACTTCGGAGGCAACTGTGTGGTGCTGTGAAGCACTCGTACTTTGCACACCTATGGAGTATCATGCATGCACGTTGCAGGCACATGCGTGCTTGTGTGAAGCACGCATATTTTCAGACCCTTGTGGATACCAAGGGAGGCACAAACATTATTTATATAGGCATGCTGTGCATTATTGGTCATGATTATGCACACCTATGTCGCGCACTTCGGAGGCAGGTGTGTGGTGCTGTGAAGAACTCGTATTTTGCACACCTATAGACTATCATGCATGCACGTTGCAGGCAGATGCGTGCTTGTGTGAAGCACACATATGTTCAGACCTTCGTGGATACCAAGGGAGTCAAGGATCATGATCGCGCACACAATTGTGTGCATATGCTTTTTTCTCCCTCTCCGTTTTTTTTTTGGGGGGGTATGCATGCTGTACACATCCCCTATCAGAGATACCCTCAAAACTCACACAATTGTGCGCACATCGCCGCACAACCATTTCTCTCAAGGGTCTTGAGCTATATCCACAGGAGGCTCGCCCCCAGGCAATTCATTATTGTGCAGAAGATAGGGGTAAACTCGAGTCAGGTCACCACTAATCTTACCGCCCTGAGAGGCTGATTGGTTTCCCTGGGGACTAATACCCGTGCTACCCTACAAAAGCTGGTCAACCTCCTGGTGCAATGCTATCTTGCAGTGTAATACATTATTGTCACAGGCCTGGAGTAACCTGAATGGCTTTGGGAGTCTACGGACACATCCCCTTCCTGGTCAATGCATCCCATCAACTTTAGTCAAGGTGCTGGCTGGCATCCATCAGGCAAATACATCATGGGCAGGCTGTCAAACTGCAAACTGCTGACCTGTAGGTGAAGGTGCGCAGCAAAATGGTCTGTCAGAATCATCTTCTTTTGTGGACTTGTGTGAACTTTGAAGTGTATATAATAATATATGACACAACATACAGATGCCGATGGATATCCCTGGCTGAGTGGGTGTGTGGAGTTGGTAATGAGGGCTATTATCACCGACTAGTTTCGCTGACCTAGTGCTGGCATTCTTGTCAAGGGTTTGGTTCGAAAGCCTGCTAGGATTGGAGGGTTGTTCCGAGTAAAGTTGTCCACTTTCTCAGGGGTTTCGCCAACTCTGGGTGACGTTGTGTCCTTATCCATTAGTCAAATGCATTCACGACAGACTGTTGCAGTTCAACCGGATGAGTGGGGAACGCCTGACGAAAAAGTTTGGCACAGTCATACCGTTTTTCTGCAGTTGTGTACAGCAAACATGACACACACACCACCATGTGATGTTGACATCATTGCCTGTTTCTTCTTCTGTTTTTTTTCCCTTTTTTTTCCATATAAAGTCCAGATCGTAGTAGAGGCTGGATGCTAGGCCTCGGGAGGTAACTGTCGTTGTACTCGACCAGTGGGGAGATCGGATGGCTTGTAACAGCCCCAAGGACAGTCTCCTTCAGGGAGCATCATTCATGAACTTTTTGTTGTCCTCATGAGATCGCAAGTTGAGCCCTACAGCGGTGCGACCCAGACCTCTGTCTAGATCTTTTCCCTTTTTTTCTGTTCACTGCCACGAGTTGCATGAGTTGTTTTTGCTTCTTTGGGTTGTTTAAGAACAGTGTATGGTTGCACGGCCACTCGTGATTGCCGACCAGGTTCTGTCTCCTCAGGGGAACCTAACAGCAAACTGGTGCCCTACCCTGCGACACGTCTGGCTGCTGGACCACCGATATTAATAAAGGTCAACCCGCTGACACCCCTGACACTGCTCCGGGTCCCCTTCAGGGGGCATTTCTTGTGCCATGGCATCTTGTAAACATGTAGAGTTCAGTGGGCATGTGCACAGCACCACCTTTTCTTTGATCGCTATGTGGGGATGAATCGCTGCTAGTCTTTGCGAGCTGATTGTTGTTGTTGCACTGTGAGAGGGTTGGCTGCTAAGCCATATATATGGCCCACACATAAACCTGTTGGTAAGGGTTTGGGGTTCGCCTCAGAGGGCAGTCCCAGAACCCTGCATTCTGTGAACATTCTTGTACAATATGAAGTAGGTCGGCCTGTGTGCAATACCACCTCTTCGTGATCGCTATGAAGGGATGCTTGTCGGCCTTGCTGTGGGCTTTTCCCATGAGAACTCCACATGTCTGCATCATGTATTCATCCGCTCCACTCACTTTTCTGCTACTTTTTATCAGGGTGTTGAGATGCCTTGCTTGAATGTCTGCTAATCTGTGTAGCATCGTGTTTGCATTCGGTGACTGAACCCGAATGTTCGCGACCGAGTGCGATCCCGCATCAAAACCCTCCCAATGCAAAAAAAAAAAACAAACTGAAAGTTTGAAAAAAAAATGTAATGTAGAATTATAATACAAACAACTTTTGCCCAGGAGGCATGTCCAAATTCATAACCAAACTTGAGTTAAAAATCAAAAACCGATTTTTTTTTTTTTTTTAAATCAGTGATGGACTCGCTGACGGTCGGCGGCCCTCGATCGGTCGGGCGGTCGGCGGTCAGTGCCGACCAATCGGCGGTTGTCGGCCTGCCGCAATTTTGCGCGGCGGCGACCCGTAGCCCGTAGGCCGATTTTCGGGCTCTCTAGCCAGTACGCGGGTGGTCGGCCGATCAGGGCACGGCTTGGGAGGCCGCCGACCGACGACACTGCCTTTTCCCCGGTCGGCGACAGTTAAAAGAGTGTGCTTGTCCACACTCTTCTCGTTCTCATGCGGTGGCATTGGAGGCAGTCGTGATTGTGTGCAGCCGCATTGCTGGGGAAGGTGAGAAGAGTGTGGGCAGGTGTGTTGGAGCAGGAGACATGGGCAGGGTGGGGGAGACGAGGTGGAAGCTTGGAGGGGGATATGGGCAGGGAGGGGGGAGACGGGGAAACGGGCCCATGCTTCCAAATGTCAGGGCCTGGTACTCCCGAATTTCCATTGGTGTGCTAATGCCTGGCGTGAGGGTCACGACTTTTCACTTGTGAACATGACTTTTGACTGTAGATTGACTTTTGGCCTTGGGACACGGCTCTGCCTGCGAAGTGCCCTTTGCCTATGGAATACGACTTTTCAATACGGGACGTGACTTTTGCTTACGGAATGCAACTTTACGTTGGGATGTGACTGCAGATCGGGCGCCTGTTTCTGAATTGACCGAGTTGTTCTTTTCTCTCATACTTTTTAGTTTGTTAAGTTTGCCGTGATTTGTCTGCTCTTCTTCACTGTCTTTCTTCTTCTTATTATTCCTCTACTTCTTCTCTCCATCTTCTTCTTCTTCTTGTTCTTCTTCTTGTTCTTCTTCTTGTTCTTTTTTTTCTTTCCTCCTTCTTCCTCTTCTTCTTCTTCTTCATCCTCCTACCATCACCCGCCTCCACGTTATTTTTTTCTTCGGAAAATCGTTGGGGAGTGGCACACACTTCTTCTTCTTCTTCTTCTTCTTCTTCTTCTTCTTCTTCTTTCTCCTCCTCCTACCATCACCCACCTTCACTTTTTTTTTTTTTTTTTAATTCGGAAAACCGTTAGATAGTGCGCACACACTTCCCATTCTTCTTCTTCTGCTTTTTTTTCTTCTTCTTCAATACCCTAGCACGATTTACTAAGGGCGCTCAAGGAGCCCTGGTTGAGGCTGCTTGAGAACCTGGTACAATGGGTTAACAGCACGTGGCCGAAATTTTTGTGGCGGATGCGGCCTTGAATAAGGACCGTATTTACGCAATAGTCCTGTCCGGTTTACACCATGGTAGGAAATTTTCTGCATATAAATAAGAAATGTCACCACTTCAGGACCATTTAAGATTTCAGACTGCCCAAAACTCTCACTTCACCACTTCAGGATGCAGCCTGCCTAAACAGGTGGTTTTCAGGGTCTTCGAACCTTTCACCACTTCAGAACCATTCGGGATTTTCAGACTGCCCAAAACTCTCACTTCAAAATTTTCATTAATTTCCAGTTACCCGTTAACTGCTTGTGCCTTGGAAATACGTGGCATTGGACGGAAGCATGCCACGATAGCTCCTCTGCCAGTTACGCAGCCCAGGTACGGTGCTCTCGAACTGTACGTGTCGGTTTTCAAATTGTACAGGTCACACACGGCTCGCGTGTAACTGACTGGACGACCGAGCCACGTAAAAGAAGTAGAGGCTACGATCCACGCTGCACGAATTAGCCCAATGAGAAATCAGAGTCGGAAGCTCGACGGAGGGAAGCGAACGTCGGAAAGATTATCTGTGGAAAAAAAACCCTAGCCTGCATAGTACTCTGCACACATGAAACATGTAGAGAAAGCTGGCCTGAAGGGATAGGCGTTGTGTTGGCGATCAGAAGCTTATGTGGATTGCCTATCTGTAGCCAGTTGGGGGGCCGATTGCACTGAAGGGATATGCGTTGTGTTGGCGATCAGAAGCTTATGTGGATTGCCTATCTGTAGCCCGTTGGGGGGCCGACACGTAACGAATTATGACCAAGTTCAGCATAACGTCTATGAGACAGATCGGTCGTAGCCGTAGTCGCTCGTGGAAGTGCTCATTGGGAAGGGAGTACCGTGCTGGCTAGGCTTACAACTCGATGGACAATATATAGGAGGACAAAGTCGTATCGGTGCTCTATACTCAGTAAGACAGGAGGATGCTCAGTGGCCCGCAAGGCAGGGTCATGAGGAAAGCCCCTTGAGGATGATCGGAGCGCAATCGATCGAAACGCGTTGGGGATTGTGCGCGTGAGCTGAGATGAGTACACGGGGCCATGTATTGAAGAGCTTCGGAAGCGTGTACGAAAGGCAGTTGGCCCTTGTTTCCACTATTTTGTGTTGCATGGTAGGAATTTTCAGTGGCGAGCATTAGCGGAGTTGACACACGTAGAGAAAGGACAAATAGAGACGACTATACGAGAGCGTAAGCGAACTCTTTACGTGTACAAGTAAGCAACATGGCGCCATCAGGCACTACAGGAGCAGGAGCAGGCGGAGCAGGAAGTTCGATCATCTGCTTCAACTGCGGCCAAGTCGGCCACTTCGTGAGAGATTCCCCGATGGGCAAAGGACAAGGTGGTTTTAAGGCAATACGAAGTATTGGCAATCGAGGAAGGAGAATGAAGATAACATAAACTGGGTAATCTGGTGGGCAGACTACAAAATGCAGAGGAAATGGAGGAAGAGGAGAATAAGAAGGCGGAAAAGGAGAAGAGAAAGATAGAAGCAATGGAGAAGGCGACAATTGGAAGAGGAGAGACGTGATGAGAAGATTCGAAGGATGTTTGCCTAAACCGAGAGAAGAATGATCGAGGAATGTTACCGAAGAGACAGGAATAGCGGCAGTTTCAAGGGATTTGCGAAACTTTATAGCAGAGATAAGAACATAAATCCAAATGACATTGGTGGACAACTTCAAGACACCGAAACGGGACAGAGAGGTGTTTGTGAGTGGGCTGGATATGTACCTTATGGAGGAAGAAGTGTTGATGGACGATGGATCAAAAGTACCACCGAAGAGAGCAAGAGGGAAGCGAACAACGAAGACCTACAAAGCGGTGGACAACTGGGAAGAAGAAGCAAGAGTAATGTTAAGGGGAGACTATGAGAAAAGTTTGAGAAGGAAGGCATGCACACTGATGAAAATCAGCTCCGTTATGAAGGAGACTCCCGGTTCTAGCAGCCATGGGGATATAGTGCGGAACATCCTGGATGCCAGAACTAAGCGTATGGCAAAGGAATGGCGAGAAGTGAAGAGACTACGAGACGAGAGGAACATCACCTAAATCTCTAAAACGCAAGGCGTTCATGAGCTATTGAGTAGATCGGCGTGGGGCGATGACGATGAGATTTTGGATGAGATATGGAAGCGTGAAGACATTCAGGATCAATGACGGTTTGTGCCCCCAGTAAAGCTCATCTGGCTTACATCGCCATTCTTTTCTCTTTGAGAGAGACAATTTGGGGGCACACAGGAGTATCGAAACTCGGATTCATAACGGAGAAAGCCTCTACCGCTTGTACGGTGTTGCTAGCATTGTTGCACATGTCCCGTGGGCGAAGAAGTTCCTAGACTTAGTACCGCAAAACTGGAAATAGTATGACTTTAAGAAGCCTGTAGTATATTGTCTCGTTTCGCCATGGTGTTGGAAAGCGTACATTGGCAGATCCATTAGAGGTGTTGCGGAAAGATGGTGGGAGCCTATTAGATGCATGAAATTAGGAACGGAGGGTAGAGCATCGTTGCTTTACAGATGGTTGAGAAAGTTTAACTGGAGTATGTCGTAATTCCCATTGCTACTTCGAAAGTTAGTGGGCTAGAGAACCTATAGAAAACGCTCATCAAAAAAATTTCCCCATCGCTTAACAAGTTAGGCACGGGGCGGAAAGGCCGGGAAGAAGGGAAAGGCAAGCGAGGGCACTCAGAGACAAGGAAAAGGAGGTGGCGAAGCAGACGCGTACCATTGTTTTTCAAACGAGTAATAGTTCGCTAGGTAACACTAGCGTACGGAGGAGTCTGGACTCAGCCTATAGGGAGGGAAGGAAACAAATCCAGATTGTTAGTGAAGGGGGTAAAGTTTGGGGAGAAGACTGATCGCTAGTAAGGAGAATGTTTGGTACCTCAACTATTGTGACACAAGCAGGACAGATAGCACTATTCCACTCAAAAAGTTGGTTTGAGGAAGGGGGTAGTTGCCCCCATCGTCATCACACAAAACGCAAGAGACAAAGGGAAAGGCTACCTGCGGTAGCTCGTGAAGATGCCCTTCGAGCGGAAAGAGTTGTCACTAATGTCGGTTGATAAGCTTATGCACCCTTACAACAGTGCTGGTTCATTCAAGGAGAAGAAAAGAGGATAATGATCAAGGATTTCCTGGGAAAGGTGGTGGGAAGGAAAACCAGTGTAAATATCCGAAAGTGGATTACAATTTAGGTCTGATACAGGAAGAAGGTGAAAAAGAGTGGCATTAGGAGTGTCCTGATCACAAATATTGAGAGTTGTGGCCTGCACCCTGCAATCGCAGGGATCTTCAAAAGGAATGCAAGGGTAGTCTAGAGAAGAAACAGGAACATATCTGAGATTTTATGCAACTACAAGCAGCTTAGTAGGAAGCCGAAACTATTTTGCATGCATAAGCACGATGACTTTCCTGTTGTTAGTGGCCATGTTCTTACAAGGATAGCAGATGTCCCAAGATTGCCCGCCTTGGTTCTGAACGGGAAGAAGGTGGTCCGTCCCAAGCTCGAGACGACACAGGAAGAAGTCAACAACAATATACGACTTGCACTCGCGTGTGTGCTTGGGAACCAATTTGGCAAGCTACTACCTACTCTCCAGGCTAGTAGTTTTTCGCATCGGAAGGAAATGGACAGTGCGACAATGACAAAGGGCTAGTCTACGCCGCCAAAAGGCAGTTGAAGGACTGTTAATTACGCAAGTCGTGAGGAACTCAGGTGATCTTGAGTTGATGTGTTCGTCGACATGCCAACATGGCTTGGATAAAATGTTCGCTTGTAGTGTAGCTTATGACGAGGTCAACAACAGCGAAGCAGAGACTTTGAAAGAGATGAGGTCTTGAAGATCGTGGACTGCACAAGCTGGTGAACCGGAACTCGAAGGGAAGGATTGGTAATGCGTACGTACTGCCCAAGCACAAGGATCTCGAAAGATGGCGCCCCATTGCCCCAGCATGCAGCGAGCCTACGATGATTGGCAGCCGATGGATTGCGAGAGCACTCAACTACTTACTGGAAAAGCTCCCTGGAGCAGAGCATTTCAACCTTACTGCAACAGCCATGCTCCAACAAAACTTGAAGAAAGCAGAGAAGAAGCTTCATCTGCATGAGGGAGAGTCAATGACAGTGTGGGGGGGATTTGAAATTAAGGAAATGTTTACATCCCTCTTGCATACTGCTATCATGGAGGCGCTATCCCGACTGCTGGGAGAATGGGAAAAGAAACGATACCCGAAAATTACGGTATGCAAAAGGAGAAAGCAAGTTTCTCTCAGCACGAAGTTGTTTGGGAAAGGCTACGTTAAGTTCTTCGTCAACTATATTCGGAGTTTTGTATCCTTTGAATTGCAGCACATCTATGCTATGTGTAGAGGAAAGCTGCTGAGACAGGTCATCGGAGTACCAATGGGGAAGAACTATTGTCCCCCACTGGCCTGTCTACTCTGTGTGAAATATGAAGAAGAGTTTATGAAATCACTGGGAGGTGACCGCAAGCTTGTCCATGGAGTAAGATTTATGGAGGATATGATGTTGGCAGTTGCATTCAATGGAAGGAAAGAAGGTTCGATTGGCAAGGCGTTGGAGATATTAAGGAAGTTCAGAAGCTGCTATGGAGATAAACTCTCATTGGTCCGTACAGGCGACAATTCTAACACCATTGAATTCATTGAGACAAGACTAACAACCGTATCAGGAAAGACCAAGTTCCTCATGGAGCCGAAGATCAACACTGAACTGAAGTGCCAAATGGGAGGAGTGCAACAGCAACTCGTCCATCATTGTTTTCAGGATTTTCGTTCCTACTCATATAAGCGAGCGAAAATTGGAGCTATAGTCGGTAGTGTCTACCACATTCAACAAATGGCGAACAGTGAAAGTACTTTTATCCTACCAGTTCTAGCCATGAAGAACGAGCTCATACGCCGGGGATACCCCCCGACGTTCTTCTTCAATACACTAGCACGATTTGCTAAGGGCACCAACGTTCTCAAGGAGCCCTGGTTGAGGCTGCTTAAGAATCTGGTACAATGGGATAACAGCACGCAACCGAAATTTTTGGTGGCGGATGCGGCCTTTAATAAGGACCGTATTTATGGAATAGTCTTGTCCGGTTTACTACATGGTAGGAAATTTTCTGCGTAGAAATAGGAAATGTTTATAAATGACCTCGTACTCCTTATACTAGCGGACTGTAGGAACCTTTTGAGTAGACAGTTACTACCAAATAGAAAATGTATATAGATGACCGCGCAATTCCTCTACTGGCAAAAAACTGGTCGAAATTACCGGACACGATAGGGACTTTGTAGGAACTTGTAGTTTCGAAATAATAAGGTTTTTCGTATCATCGGCGTATATAAATTATTTCTTATAGGCTATCTTTTTTGTCCTTGGAAATACGTAGCGTTGGACTAGTAGGCACGCCACTGTAGCCCCTCTACCAGTTAGGCAGCCCACTCACGGTGCTACTGGATTGTATCCGCCTTGCAATTTCAAAATAATAAGGCTTTTCGTATCATCGGCGTATATAAATTATTTCCTATAGGCTATCTTTTTTGTCCTTGGAAATACATGGCATTGGACTAGGCTTTTCGTATCATCGGCGTATATAAATTATTTCCTATAGGCTATCTTTTTTGTCCTTGGAAATACATGGCATTGGACTAGTAGGCCCGCCACGGTAGCCCCTTTGCCAGTTAGGCAGCCCAATCACGGTGCTACCGGATCGTACCCGCCTAATTCCCAAGGAGCGGGAAAATGGACTGCATGACGGATTTTGAAATTGTACAGGTCACGCGCGACTCGCGTGTAACTGACTGGACGACCGAGCCACGTAATAGGAGTAGAAGCTACGATCCACACTGCACAAATTAGCCCAATGAGAAATCAGAGTGAGAAGCTCGACGGAGGGAACCGAACGTTGGAAAGACTATCTGTGGAAAAAAGCCCCTAGCCCATGCATAGTACTCTGCACACGTGAAACACGCAGCGAAAGCTGGCCTGAAGGGATAGGCGTTGTGTCGGCGATCGGACGCTTACGTGGATTGACTATTAGTAGGTCGTTGGGGGGCCGACACGTAACGGATTATTTCTGAGTTCGGCATAACGTTTATGCGACAGACCGACCGTAACCGTAGTTGCTCGTGGAAGTACCATTTGGGAAGCCAGTACCTTGTTGGCTAGGCTTACAACTTGATGGATAGTATATAGGAGGACAAGGTCATATCGGTCCTCTGTACTCAGTAAGACGGGAGGATTGTCGGCGGGCCGCGAGGCAGGGTCATGAGGAAAGCCCCCTGAGGATGATTGGAGCGCAACCGATCGAACGCGTGGGGGATTGTGCGTGTGAGCTGCGATGAGTACGTGCGGCTATGTATTGAAGAGCTTTCGAAGTGTGTACGAAAGGCAGTTGGCCCATGTTTCCACTATTCCACTATTTTTCTTCTTCTTCATCTTGTCTCCATTTTCTTCCACTTCTTCTTCTTCACCATCTTCTACTTCCTCTTCTTCTTCTTCTTCTTCTTCTTCTTCTTCCTCTTCTTCTTCTCTCCATTTTCTTCCACTTCTTCTTCACCATCTTCTTCTTCTTCTTCTTCTTCTTCCTCCTCCTACCACCACCCAGCTCCACATTTTTTTTTTCCGAAAAATCATCGTGCAGTGGGCACACACTTCTCTTCTTCTTCTTCTTCTTGTTCTTCTTGTTCTTCTTCTTGTTCTTGTTCTTCTTCTTCTCCTTTCCATTTTCTTCCACTTCTACTTCTTCAACATCTTTTACCTCTTCTTCTTCTTCTTCTTCTTCTTCTTCTTCTTCTTCCTACCACCACCCACCTCCAATTTTATTTTTTTGTTCGAAAAATCGTAGGGCAGTGGGCCCACACTTTTCTTCTTCTTCTTCTCTCCATTTTCTTCCACTTCTTCTTGTTCACCATCTTTTACCTCTTCTTCTTCTTCTTCTTCTTCTTTCTTCCTCTTCTTTCTTCCTCTTCTTCTTTCTTCCTCCTACCACCACTTACCCCCACGTGTCTTTTTTTNTTTTTTTTTTTTTTTTTTTTTTTTTTTTTGAGGGGGTCGCAGCGGGCGCACACCTCCCACCCCGTTTTCTCCTTCTCCTCCTTCTTCTTCTTCTTCTTCCTCCTCCTTTTCCTCTTCTTCTTCTTGTCCATCTTCTCTCCATCTTCTCTTCTTCTTCTTCTTCTTCTTCTTCTTCTTCTTCTTCTTCTTCTTCTTCTTCTTCTTCGTCCTACCATCACCACCTCCACTTTTGTTTTTTTTTGCAATATTTGAAAAATCGTTGGGCAGCGGGCACACACCTCCCACCCCTTATTCTTCTTCTTCCTACCAACCACCTACCTCCACTGCGATGAGTCGATGACCATGCCGAGGAATCGAGGACCGTTTGAGCTTGAGACTAGTGCAGAGAGAGAAAGGATATGCTCAACATGTTGAAGCTTTGGAGATGGGCAGATCGAGGGCAGAGGTTGACGAGTGGCACGTCGTACGACTCGTGGAGGTTGCTCTGCAGGCTATGCAACAAAGAGTTCATCGGCACGGTTAGCAAAGTTGTGAACCACCACACCCAACCATCGCCCGTTGGCCGCTGTCCGCGTACCACCGGGCAGATTCTCGCTTTGATCAGGAGGAACCACCGAAGGTGGTAATCCCCCGTGACATAATTGAAAAACTGAACGACTACCACAAGGAACAGGGTCGTCCGCCGATCGTGGAGGATCCAAAGGATCTTGCCTCGGGTGATCAAGCGGGTCCTTGGTTTTGACTCGACATTTTTCGCCGCATGGCTGCTTCGACATTGTTGAGCATCTGCGGGTTTCCGTTCTAGCTGCTGCTCAACCTCCGACAACAGTCGTTCATGAACAATTTTGTGGTGGATGAGTTGCAGAAAGAGTTTGACCAGGCGGTCGCCTGTTTCTTCTTTGAGAATGCCATCGCCTTCAATGCTGCGAGATCGGACTTGTATAAGAACATGGAAAGGATCATGAACCTGGCAACTAGATAAAGGAAGATGTTGCGATTGCCAGGATACAAGCACTTGAGGACGAAGGTCCTGCCCACGGAGTACAAAGTTGTGGATAACGATTTGGACAAGATCCGTGAGCCGTGGGATGTCACATGCTTGACCTTGATGACATATGGTACAACGACGACCAGCAACTTCCTTGCAGCCGGCGATTCAGGGGCTGTGATGGTGAGGAGCGTGAACATGGAGGGGAAGGACAAGTCGGCCCCAGCTTTTGCAAGCATGTGGGAGGAGGTCATAAGGGACTTGGGGGGTGCATAGGGTCAACTCCGTCTGCACCAACTCAACACAGGTCAACATTTCCGCCAGGAAGTTATTGATTGAGCACGAGGGCCCGGCGATCCGTAGTATTCCATGGGTGTCTTATGCGTACCATGTGTGCAACTTGCGTGTGTGTGACATTGCTTAGGTGCCACTGCAGGGCAGGGAGATCACAACTCTCATCAAGAGACATCAGCGGTCGTTGGCCATGTTCCGGAGGACTGGGAGGGAGAAGAGGACACAGTTGGGTATCAGAGACGGGAGGCCGTTGGAGTTGATCCAACCAGGGGAGACTAGATTCGGCACAAATTTTCTCAAGTTGCTGTGACTTCGGGAGTGCGATTGGTGTTGCTAGCGATTGTTTCCAACCCATGTGGGATGACTGTCCATGGGATCGAACCGCAGCGACACGGGTTCGATCGTGCAAGGATCTCATACGAGACCCGGCTTGGTGGTTGACTATGCAACGGGCATGTACCTTGCTCGTCTGTTTATGGCCTGATGAAGACTATGGACATGTATTCAGGTGTGGGCTTTGGGGATCACGTTGGAGAAGAGAATGGCCATGCTTCCCATGGATTGCGAGACAAGGGGGTTCGTGATGGCGAAGGTGAAAGACCGTGTGCGGATGATGGCTCTCCCCGTGCATGCAACGGCGTGGATGTTGCACCGGCTCCACTAATCAGCTCGACTATTTGACGACTATGCATCAGAGGGGATCGCAAACACTTTGACTCACTTTGCTTCGGTTCACCCGAAGAACTCTGAGTACAAAGAATGATGAACTCCCTTAAGAGTTTCCATTACACGGATCCGGAGTGGCATGGCAAGAACTCTGAGGAGGCTTTGACAGGTGATCGTGTGTCTGTGGCACAGTGGTGGTTGACTTATGGGAAGAAGCCAACCCTGAGAGAGGTCGCTGTTAGAGTGCTCAGCATGTGGACCACATCCGCTCCATGCAAGAGGAACTGGTCCACGTTCGACCTCGTTCACACAAAGAGGAGAAATTTGTTGAGCCCGAACAACCGATAGATGCTAGTCTTCATCCATTGGAACAAGAAGCTGCTGCACATGTCAAGGGCGACGATGGGATTCGTCAAACTGAGGGCTTGAGTGGGAGACACCAGAGGATGAGGCGCCTTTCGATGATTTCATCAGAGACAAAGAGTACGACCCCGCAGCGGTGAAGAGGAGGGCCGCTAATTAGTCCGAATTTCGCGGCCGCAGATCGAAGAGGACCAAATTCGATGTTCGCGAGCTTCAGGAGGAGAGGGTGGACGACGGGGCATGGCTCCTTGATCTTTCCTACCGCCCTCGTCGTGTCATGAACAACGACTGCGGGAAGAGCACTGTTGCTGATGATCATGATGAGGAGAGCAATGACAACGAGGGTGACGACGAGTTACTTGAAGTGCGGCTCACAGACATTCGGTCCACCAAGCGTTCGGGCGGCGGCTCATGTTCTACTAGACACGATGACATCACGTCGCCAGCAGTCCTTGCATCGGGCGAGCCTTCGGGGCTCCTTTAGTGTCGTTGCCGGACGACGCCGGTGTGCGTACACGACGACGGAGCTCCGTGTCAGGTGGTGTGGCTTCAGTGCAGGGCACCGACATAGTTCCGGGCGTAGAGCTCACCCCTCATCAGCGAGTTGTGCTCGAGGAGATACCCACAGACCGCGAGACGACAGATGGGGGTTCGATGAATGTTCACGGGGACAATGCTGTGGTGGAGGTTGATGCGTGGCACTGTGGAACATGCAGACGGAGACATCGGTGCGAACATGGATGACCTGGCTCTTAGAACAGCGGAGGACACCGAGGCTGTGGGCGGCGATGTGTTCTCCACTTCTGACCCGGGGTTGGGGCTGGGGGAGGGGGCCTCCCTATTGCACGACTGGGCCCCCATTGCGTTGAGCGGCTCCAACAAGGACTTTTGTGAACACCTGTCTGCAATGTCCCCCATGAGGATCGATTTTGAGGAGCAGACTCCTGATTGGGCCAGATTCATTGGACCAATCCCACCCGGTCTATAGTTGAGCGAGGACATTCCAACAGAGGCCGGGGAAGGATCACAGGGCATGGTCTACAGGAGGAAGACCCGAGCTGGTGAGGTTGGAGGACGTGACCCACCACGAGATGTAGGTGCACGACGTGCGTCAGTGTCGCGGCCCGAAGTCGATGTCAGCAAGGTGCGCCAAGTGAGGAGTTTGGCGGGCAAAAAGAAAGGAGGGAAGGACAAGCCGATGCAGACGGCGACACTGACGACAAGAGGTGGAAGAGGCAAGGGACACAAGACAGTCACACCGCCAGTGTCCTTGAAAGATAAGCATGTTGTTGTTCGTCAGGCGAAGAAGAGGAAGGCACGGAGGGTTCAAAAGAAAGTCACCGCAGTCTCGCAGTCTCCTAAAAGACATCCGAAAAAGAAAAGGAAGTGAGTGCAAGAGGACGATGAGTCTAGCAGCAGCAACGCTTCATCGTCCGCAGAGGAACAGGAACCGTCGGCACGTTCATCGACTGACCCGTCGTCATCGACTAACACGCCGTCATCAACCAGCACCAGTAGCAGCAGGGAATGTGTGTGTGTGTGTGTGTGTGTGTGTGTGTGAGAGAGAGAGAGAGAGAGAGAAAGAGAGAGAGAGATACATGTCCAGTTGCGCAATGTATGTCGAGCCAAGGATCCACAATGTGATGAAAAGGACTGAATGGACAATGCAATGTCAGTTGAGAATCAACAAGCAATGTACAGCCTAGTAGGGCAACGGAAGACTTTAAGATAAGTCCTGACCTGACCGGGACTGACACAACGTCCCATCATACATCACACATGTGAGAGGAGGAGGAGGGACCGCACACAAGAAAGGTCCCTCCTTGTACACACACATGGGGAGGTACCACATACGAGAGATGGGAAGAGAGCGAGAGTTGAAGATGGAGGTAGGGCGCAATAGCGAAGTCCAAAAATAGTCTCCTTGCCGATGTCCAATCAATGTCTGTCTCGGAAATCAGATCCTGTGCGCCATGCCCATGGGAACCCCTGCCTGTATCGTCTGGCTGTAACCACTCTCACTCTCGTATCTGAAGAAGAAGAAGAAGAAGAAGAAGAAGAAGCGAGGAGAGAGAGAGAGGAGGGGGAGACGAAGAGACCGTCCTCCTTACCGTCTCACCTGCAGGAAGACCGCCGTCACTGACTACCGTGTGGTTGCTGTCTTGTGCAGGTTGCGAGCGGAGTCCCAGCTATGGTGCCAGGTGAGTCCGCTGTCCGCAGGTATGGCCTCCGCCCTCTCCTACCTACTTCCCTACCTCCAGTTCACAGCGCAGCGCTGGTCCAGCAGCGTGTCGCTTAAGAAGTGAGCTACCCGAACTGTGTCTGGCCCAGCCGCTGCCCAGCTATATGTAGCGCTGGGCGGCTGGACCTACCTGGTGCTGGCCTCAGAAACGGCCCAGCTGGTCTGGGTCCCTACCGGACGTCCAGACCATGCGGCTGATGCAGCAGAGAAAAAATGCGCCAGGCCTGGATCAGGCCCTGTTCCTGTGCACCTGGCCCAAGGCGGTGCCTTGGTGCCTGTGGTCCGAAACGGTACTGGTACCGTTGAGTCAGGCGCCGAAACGTGTCTGGTTTCGGAAGGGCCTCGTGCCTCTGTACCTGGCCCAAGGTGTTGCCTTGGGGTCTGCAAGTCCAAAACGTCATCTGCACAGGCAAGGGACAAGGCAACGGTAAGTAAGTAATAAATAAATAAATACTGCCGCCTTTATGTGAAATCTGCGGCCTGGCCCCTTGAAATGGGCCCGTGTGCAGGCGCAGTATGTAACAGGAAGAGACACCTTTTCTTCTTCTTCTTCTTCTTCTTCTTCTTCTTCTTCTCCTCCTCCTCCTCCTCCTCCTCCTCCTCCTCATTCCTTCTTCTTCTTCTTCTTCCTCCTCCTTCCTTCTCCTCCTCCTCCTCCTCCTCCTCCTCCTCCTCCTCCTC